TGGCATATCTCACAGAACTAGAACAAATATCCCAAAAACTTATATGGAACCACAAAACCCCCAAAATCTTCAGCAATCTTGAGAAAAAAAGGACAAAGTTGGAGGTATCATGCTGCCTGATATCAAACTACACTACAAGGCCATAGTAATCAAAATAGCAGAGTACTGACATAAAAACAGACACATAGGTCAATGGAACAGAATAGAGAGCCCAGAAATAAACCTCTGTCTTTTGGTCAATTAATATTTGACAAAGAAGGCAAGAACAGACAATGGGGTAATGACTGTCTCTTCAATAAATGGTGTTGGGAAAACTGGGCAGATACATGCAAAAAAATGAAACTAGACTATCTGTTTACATTACACACAAAAATAAACTCAAAATGGACTGAAGGCTTAAATGTATGTTATGAAACCATAAAAATCCTGGAAGAAAACATTGGCAGTAAAATCTCAGACATTCCTCACAGTAATATTTTTTTCTGAGGAGACAGTCTTTGGGCAAAGGAAACAAGAAAAAATAAATGAATGAGACTGCATCAAATGAAAAAGCTTTTGTACAACAAAGGAAACCATCAAGAAAAAGGAAGAGAAAAGCCACTGAATTGAAGAACATATTTGCCACTGATACATCTGATAAGAGGTTAATTTCCAAAATATATAAAGAACTTATACAACTTAACACCAAAAAACCCCAAACAATCTCATTAAAAATGGGCAAAAGATGTGATTATGCACTTCTCCAAAGACAACATACAGGTGGCCAACAGACATAGAGAAAAATGTTCAAGGTCACTAATCATCAGAGAAATGCAAATTAAAACTACAATGAAATATCAACTCTCACCTGTCAGAATGGCTACCATCAATAAATCAATAAACAACAAATGTTGAGGAGGATGTGGAGAAAAGAGAACCCTAGTGCACTATTGTGGGAATAGAGATTGGTGCAGTCACTGTGGAAAACAGTATGGAGTTTCCTCAAAAAATTAAAAGTGGAACTGCCTTATGACCTAGTGATTCCACTTCTGGGAATGCATCTAAAGGAACCCAAAATGCTAATTTGAAAGAATATATGCACCCCTATGTTCATTGCAGTGTTATTTACAATAGCAAGATTTAGAAGCAGCCCAAGTTCCCATGAGTAGATGACTGGATAAAAAAGCTGTAGTACACTTACACAATGGAATACTACTCAGCCATAAAAAAGGAAATCTTACCTTTGGCCTCAGCATGGATGAATCTGGAAGGTGCTATGCTAAGTGCAATAAGCCAGACAGAGAATGACAAATACTATGTGATTTCACTTACATGAGGAATCTAATGAACAATTTATACACACAAACAAAATAGAAACAGACTTACAGATCCATGGAACAGACTGAGAGCTGTCAGAGGGAAGTAGGGTTGGAGGGCTGGGTTTAAAGGGTAAAGGGTTTTTTAAGCAAAAAAAAAAAACAAAAAAAAAACACCAACAAAACACCAAACTCATAGACACAGACAACAGTATGGTACTGGTAGAGGGAACGGGGTGGGAGGATGGGAGGGGGAAGAGGGCGAGGCGGAGTTTGGTGGGGGAGATAAATGTTGGTGGAAAGAGACTTGGCATTGGGTGGTGAGTGTATGATGCAGTATGCAGATGATGTGTTATACAACTGTACACTTAAAACCTGTATGGTTTTATTAATCAATGCCGTTCCAATAATATAAAATTTTAAAAAATGGGCAGAGTACCTGAATAGACACTTGTGCAAAGAGAACATACAGATGGCCAACAGACATACGGAAAGACTCTGAATGTCACAAATCATCAGAGGAATGCAAATTAAAACCACAATGAGCTATCACCTTACACCTGTCAGAATAGCTATTATCAATAAATTGACAAGTGTTGGTGAGGATGTGGAAAAAAGGGAATGGTTGGTGGGAATGCAGATTGGTGCAGTCAGCATGAAAAACAGTATGGAGGTTCCTCAAAACATTAAAAACTGAACTACCTTATGACCCAGCGTTTCCACTTGTGGGTATATATTTGAAGAAACCCAAAACACAAATTCGAAACAATATGCATACCTCTATGTTCACTGCAGCATTACAACAGCAGCCAAGATTTGTAAGCAACTCAAGTGCCCATTAATAGACAAGTGGATAAAAAAGTTCTGGTACATATATCCAATGGAATTCTACTTGGCTATAAAAAGAATGAAATCTTACTATTTGTTACGGCACAGAGGGATCTAGAGGCTATTACATGAAGAGAAATAAGTCAGACAGAGGAAGACAATTACCATATTTCACGTATAAGTGGAATCTAAACAGCAAAATAAATGACAAACAAAATAGAAACAGACTCAAAACAGAGAACAGACTGCTGGTTGCTAAAAGGGAGGGAGTTTGAGTGGCTGAGTGAAAAGGTGAAGGGATTGAGAAGTGCAGATTGGTATTTACAAAACAGTCCCAGGGATGTAAAGTATAGCACAGGAAATACAGTCAATAATATTGTAATATTTTTGTACTGTGTGAGGTGGGTGCTTGAAATATCAGGACCATCTTGTAAAGTATATGATTGTCTAACCACTATGCTGTATCCCTGAAACTAATACAAAAACTATTGACTATAATCTGTAATTGAAAAATAAATTAAAATATATAGGAGACCTGTCTGCACTTAGCAGGTTGGCCCTAAGCTGGCATATGAGAACTTGAACTTCTACAGGGCTCCCATCATCCTAATAGTGGCTCAGTGTGCCTACAATGTCTGCACAAGCAGTGTGGTTTATGTTGAACATCTGCTATTCTTCTGGAGTGCAAATTTGGCATGTGCCAGACAGAAGGTATCTTGTGACAAGCCCCCAGTAAAAACTCTGGGCACTGAGTCTGTAATGAACTTCCCTGGTATACAGCATTACACATGTTATTACAACTAATGGCTGGAGGAATGAAGTTCATTCATGTAACTCAATGAGAGAGGACCCTTGGAAGCTTGCATTTCTTCTAGACCTTGCCCCATCCACTTTTTCCCTATGTAGGTGTTGGGTTTTATACTTAAAATGTAATAAAGCATAGCTGTGAGCATGATTCTAGGCTGAGTCCTGTGAGACCTCTTAGTGAATCATCGAACATGGGGTGGTTGTTGGGACCCATAACACAACCCAAAACCCCAGTCTCATAAAAGACATTAAACAACCTCATTTGAGGGGCATTATACAAAATGTTTAACCAGTATTCTTCAAAACTGTCAACTGATGACTTTGACAAGGGAAAGTCTGAGAAACTGCCAAAGCCAATAGGAGTCTAATGAGAGGAGACAACTAAATGTAACATAATATGGTTCCCTAGATGGGATCCTGGAACAGAAAAAAAAAAAAAAAAATTATGTAAAAGCTAAGAAAACATGAATAAAGTATGAACTTTATAATGTATCAATATTGGTTCATTAAATGTGACAAATGTACCATTCTAACATGATATAGGGGATTCTGGGTATGGGCTAATGGAACTCTCTGTTCTGGCTTCACAACTTTTCTATAGATCTAAAACTATTCTAGTTTATAAAACAACACAGTTTAACAACATTATTAAAATACAAATACTTAGGTATAAATCTAATAAAACATGCATGGGTTCACAATGCTGAAAACTACAAAATATTGAGAAAAGAAATAAAAGAAGAGCTAAGTAAAAAGTGAGAAATGGATTAGAAAAATCAATATAGTAAAGCTTTCAGTTCTCCCCAAGTTGATCTACATAAATTTACCATATTTCAATCAAAGTCACAACAGAGATTTTTGTAAATATAAACAGGCCAATTCCATATTTTACATGGAAATGCAAAGGAACTAGAATAACTCAAACAATTTTTAAAAAGAACAATAAAGTGGGCAGAATCACAGTATTCTATTTTATGACTTACTACAAAGCTACAACCAAGAAAAAAGGCTATACTGGCAAAAGGAGAGACACAAAAATGAACTGAATAAAATAGAGAGTCCAGATATAGACCCACACATAGAGAGTCAACTGATTTTTGATAAAGCTGCAAAAGTATTTCAATGGAGAGAGAACAGTAATTTCAACAAATGGTGCTGGAACAATTAAGCATCTCAATGCAAAACAATGGACCAAGCTTGAGCGAAACCTCACATCTTTTTTTTTTTTTTGTTTAATTAACTCAATGTGAGCCACAGTTATCAGTGAAAAACTATAAAACTTTCAGAAGAAAACATAGAAAATCTTCATAACCTACGATTAGGCAGAGTTCTTAAATATGACACCAAAAGTATGACCCATTTAAAAAAACTGAGAAATTGGACTTCATCAAATTAAACCTATTTGCTCTACAGGAAAAAAAAAAAAATTGTTAAGAGACTGAAAAGACAAACTATACACTGAGGAAAAAATTATACATTGCATATCAAATACAGAACTTACAGCCAAAATATATAAGGAAGTTTTTCAAGTCAACACAAAGAACACAACCTGATTAAAAAGTGACCAGCAGGCTGACAGCTCTGGGGTGGCAGGGGTGGGGGTCAGTTTGGGGGATGGAGGGGATGAGCAAAAAAGAAAAAAGACTCACGGACGACAGTGTGGTGACTGTGGGGAGGGGAAGGGGATGCGTGGAGTTGTAAGAGAGTATAAGGGGGACAAATGTTAATGGAAAAAGTACAATAAAAACTAAACTGTTAAACATAAATAAATAAAAAAGGAAAAAATGACCAAAATATTTGAACAGACACTTCACTAAAGAATATGTACAAATGAAAAAATAAGCACATAAAAAATGTTCAACATCATTAGGAAAATGCAAATTAAAATCATAATGTGATTGATTCCACTACAGTATCTATTGATTGACAAAGTATAAAACATTGAGACCAGGTGTTTACAAGGATGCACAGCAAATGGAACGCTCATACATTGCTGCCTTGCATGTAAAATAGAATAGCCATTCTAGAAAACAATTTGGCAATTTCTTATAAAGTTAAATATACACTTACCATACGATTCAGTAGTCCCACTCCTGAGTATTTACCCTAGAGAAATGAAAACAAGTTTATACAAAAACCTATGCATGAATGTTCATAACAGCTGTTTTCATAATTCCCAAAACCTGGAACAACCACCTGTCCTTCAACAGCTGAATGAATAAATTGTGGTTCATTCATACAATGGAATACTATTGAGCAATATTAAAAGAACTATAGATATATTCAACGACTTAGACGAATCTCATGGCAATTGTGTTGAGTAAAAGAAGCCAGTCTCAAAATGTTATATACCATATGATTCTAATTTCATAACATTATATTATTATTATTTAATAATATTATCAAAAAGGCAAAACTAAAATAATGGAGAACTGAACAGTGGTTTTCAGAGATGGGACAAGGATGTGACTCTAAAGATATAATCAAGGCACAATTATAAAGACGCAAGGGAGATTTTGGGGGTGCTGGAACCATATCCCCATCATGGTAGTTGTTACATGAATATACATGGGTTTAAATCATAGAGCCACATGCCAACAATAAATCAATCTTATTGCATAATACTTGGAAAAAAAACACAACCAAAAAGACTATGCTGAATTTATAAAAGGCCTGTTGGCTGAATGTAGCTCAGCATTATCTTTCCCCAAAGTAGATGCTTAATTAACATTGGCTGAACAAAAACACTGGAAACTGGCTGCATTTTCTGATTCAATATCAAACTCATTTCTATTCCTAAGCTTTAAAAATTTCAATACTTTTTGTAATGTCATTAACATTTCCTTTAATGGTATCTTCCATAGTAACATGTCTAAGTTTGCACAAAACCAAATTGTTAAAAATGTCAAATGAAAGTCAGAAATCTAGATATCCCAACCAATTATTTTAAACTTAAAGAATATTAATAACAAAAAAATTTTTAATATCTTATATACTTATTTTCCATATTAAAAAAAAAAGGACAGGATCTGTACTGAAATTACACAAAGGTATGGTATACCAAACATTTTAAAAATGCTTACAGAATTAACTAATCTCTATTAAACATGAGCTGAATAGCTAAGTCATTGATTTATCTCAAACATTAACTCTAGGATTTATCTTTTTGTTTGAATTAGCAAGCTATTAAAGTTTATTTTTATTCTTTCTGGCTCAAACCATGATGTGCACTCATACATATAACTGATGTCATTTCTATTTCAAACTTTCTTTGCTAAGGAGATATTGGGCATTTGTTTGCTTGTATCTCCTGTGCAACCAAGCAAACCTATTAGGATCCTACCATGCCACTCCATGTATTGACTTGTCACAGGTCGAAGACTCAATTATTGTGATCAATGCTAAGCACACTGGTTAAATCGCACATGTGTGAATGAATAAAAGTAACCATTGAGGGGAAAAAACATCAACTTTGGTCTTGCTTTGCTCTAAACTATATAAAACAGTGTTCCTATGCTGGAAAATGATTAATAATATAGATCAAGTTTTCAGAAGTACCCAATCCAAGGATTAAACACATTTTAAAAACTGCAAAAATGTCATTTGAGTATACTTACAGTATAAAGTGTAATTTTAATGCTTCTCTTAAATTTCTGTTTGTTAGAGAATTATTTTAGTGCCCTCCACACTGTTTTTAAGGAATTCTTTTTGAATGTTCATTTAACATATGATCATCTCCAATTTATCTAGGTTTAGGTCAAAATTACAATAAAATTTCTGAATTTTACAGCTTCAATAAATTATCAAATATTTTATAATGGTGCCAAAATACATTCATTTATACATTCTATAATATATGATTTGATGCCACATTATACCATCACTTGTAAATAAACAAAACTAGAATGCTCTTGTTAGTTAATCACTCAAAAATATAATAAACATGTACCTACTGTGATAATTATACTATCAAACTGAAAGATGGTATACCTTATTAAATACCTAACCTTATTAAAGTACTCATTGTAGTAATTTTATTTTATTCAGTCTATGATAAGGACATAAAACAATAATGAGTTTGCTTAACTGTTTTAAAAGAATGAACTAAAATGTAGAGTTACTGCTTTCTACATTTTAGCTCTGAGGACACTGTTAACATTTAACATACTGATTAATAAGAACTACTATTAATTATAAACAACAAAACAATAATGGCAACTTGCAAAAATAAAGTTTATACAGAAATATACTAGCCCTCAAACTTCCAATTTTCATGAGAATCTCATAACTGCTTTCCTCAGCATCTAACGTTTATTGCTCAGACCGTTCACATACCCCACCCTTGAACTCATCATTATGGGTATAGGAGTTTAAGCCAAAGAGAAGCATGCCTCCTATAAAACTACTAGAAGGTCAATTATCCTTTCGATTATTTTCAGTTTAACACAATTATACACAATTATGTGGGCACATAATTAAATAAGACTCCAGGAAAATATGCATTTAAGTTCAATGGGATGAAAGTGAATGAATGTCACTAAGATTACATTTACTTAGAGAAACTTGTTTGCTTCAACTAAAACTAAAATAAAATCCTAACTCAAATAAATTTAAAATGTCTATAATACTCTAGTCTCAATATAATGAAGATTACTGTTCCTTTAAAATATTAACAGTATTGAAAAAAAACTTTACAAAAGGGTATTTTCTAAACACGTGGAGCAGAGGCAGATGTCAATTACAATAGAGCTGCATGATTAGAGTTCTCCTAGAGAGAAATGCCATTTCAAAAATTACTAAAACCAACTTTTTACATAGTACAGGTATTCAAAATTAGCTCCTTCCCCCAAGCCTCAACATTTATAATACAGAACTTTTAGAAAATTCTTTTTTAAAATTACCTGCTTCTGCAGCCATCTTTCATGCCTTCGTTGTTTCCTTCTCAGATTCTTCAACTTGCTCCTTTCTCTTTTACTGAGCCTCTGATTAATGGCGCCCAATGAAAAACTGCCCGAGCGCAGGAAGTCCAGAGGAGAGCGGTGCTCTTCCTGCTCCGAGGCCTCCAGTGTGCTCCTGCCAGCTGAGGGCAGGTCCATCAGGAAAGTCAGACTGTTAGAGCTGGCATGGTCAGAGTACACTGCAGAAGCTTCTAGACCACACTGAAATTCTCCTCTTTGTGTCTGGGACTCAAGGGGAACCACAGAAAATCTTTGCAGCAGCATATTAGGATCAAACCTTGATGAAATCTGAAGGGAGCAGCTATTTTTAGCAGATTCTAAAGGCAAGTCCGGAAGGTCAACAGGCTGTGTTTCATTTTGCCTGGAATGGGCAGTAGTCTTACTATGTGTTTCATATAAAGTGGGTAATAAAGTTCGTTTCTCGCTGATGTTCAGATCCAAGCTATGCGATTTTCTATGAAAAGCTCTTCTGGTGCATCTGCCAGGCAAAAGCTGGGGAACAAAAAGCTGGTATTTGGGATTGGATGCTTTGAAGAGCAATTTTTCCTTCTTCAGCTGAAAATATGTAGACCGCACCTCCAGGCAGAGTGCTTCTGTTAATCTTCCAGAGCCATTATTATTTTGAGCCATGATTAAAAGCCTGTGATTTCTGTTTTTGAAGGCGCCACCTGTCAGCTGAGTTTCCGAGTCACAACCAGACTGAACTCTAGGATGTGACAAGTATTTCAGCGATGGTCTCATTCGTTGGCCTGCCTGTGCTGGCTGATAATCGGTCCGGCTCTTGGAGAGATGTACAGCTGTACGCAGGCCACAGGAACATTTTGGAGTGCTGACAAAGTTAAAGCCCCCTAAACGGGCCCCACAAAAAGGGCAATTCAGTTTTCCAACTGTCCACTGGGCCTACAGGTAATAAAGGAAAATAAAGACAATGCGCTCATTGTAATCAAAAAGAATGTGGGCTTTTTATTTTTAAGCCAACCACATGAAAGTTTTCTATGACACAGAAAAAGCTAGCTTTCTGTTTTCTGATTAGTAGACAGAACAGTAAATGGGAACAAGCAAATAGAGATAAGCAGCCCCAAAGTTCTAGAATGATAACATGTTGCACATCACGAGCATCTAAACAATACTCCTAAGAATTCTAAAAGAATCTCTTAAACAATAGATTGAATATGGATACAGTGTGAACTAATGAAAAGAAAAATTCACTATGGAACCAGGAAGCACATCAGTCTACAGAGCTTAATTTGCAAGTAAAATCTCACAGAAAAGTGTCTGTTTTGATACACTACTTGCATACCAAGCACTATGGGAGGGAACTTTACCCAATTATCAGAATAAAGCTCTTTCTGCCTTTCTATATACAACCAAAAGATATTGGTTGTATATATCAGATAGTACATTTTCTATACTGAAATTGGAAATTAATAATGAGCTGGCTTAAAATGATTTTTTCAACAGAGAGAGTGGAACATCTGCAGCGTCCTAATGCACTTTGTAAAGCTCAGGACACTTACAAGCACCACATGGGCATTTTTCTAGGAAATAATTACAATGTGAGAATGGATGCAAGGAATATCTATAAATGTTATTGTTTAAGAACAATAACAAAAAATGTTAAGCTAGTCAGTGAAGAAAGACAATTTTATTTTTCTAAAAATCATATTACTTACAGTTTTCTAAGACTTAAGTGTTTTGAATTATAAGAAATAATGATACCATACTGTTGACAAGGTGAGTTCTTGCTCTTATAATATTCCATTAAGGATTCTTGAAAGTGTTGTATTTTTATTTTTACTGTGCCAAAAAGAGTCCTTAATTATCCAGTTTATTTTATGTGCGTGCATACATGAATAATATATGCAGGATATTTCATTCACTCAATAAACACTGTTCTAGGGGCTGGGAATACAGTAATAAACAAAATATAAAAACCACTGACTCCATGGAGTTTATAGCCCAGCAGGCGAGTTGGGCAATTAACAAGATGAGTAAGCCATAAGTGTGTGGGGATGAGTGTATATATATGTATATGTGTGTATGTATAATAATTCATGTATTTATATATGTAATATGTACTTATGCATTTCTAAAAGCACTATATATTACTTATAGTTTGTGTCTGTGTGTATGTGTAAATTATAAAGCAGATAAGGAAGAAAGGAAGTGTGAAGGGTGGTCACAGTGGGGAAAGCAGTTGATAGGTAGGTCAGGCAATGCCTCATTTAAGAATAAAGACCTATGCAAACAAGGGAACAGGTGACTATCTGTGGGAAGAGCTTTTAAGAAGGAGAAATACCAAGTGCAAAGTTTAAGGCAGCAATGTATCTGAAGCATGGACGGAGCAGGAGAAATTATGCTAAGTGAATTTAGCCAGTCAGTGAGAGAAAAATACTACATGATTTCACTTTTATGTGGAATTTAATTAACACAGTAAACCAACAAATTAAATAGTAACAGAAGCTTAGATACATAAAACAGACTGACAGCTGCCAGAAAGAGTGGGTGTGGGGGGATGGGATGAAAGATGGCACAGGGCTTAACCAAAGAACATTCATGCACAGCCCACGGACACGGACAACAATGTGGGGATGGGCTTGGGTGGGGGGAGGGAGAAAATGCAGGAACAACTGAAACAGCATAAACAATAAAAATAAAACTAAAAAATACATAAAAATAAAAAAAACAGAATAAAAAGTACCTGAAGCACTCCAGTAACAATGAAGTCAGAAAATATAATTAAGAATTTCATAGCCTTTCATGTCTGTTGAAACAATACATCCAAGAAAAAAATAACTCTAAAATAAGGACAAAAACATTCTGAAGGTAGTATATTCCTGATTTTACTCTGACACTAGAAACTTACTTTTTGTATTAGGCAGTTTATCCATTCTGGAAGGGCTTCTATATTCATGTGCCACACATGACAAGTATTTTGATCACTGGCTGAATCATGTCCATCCTATTATATCAAAATGCATGATATTAGATTTACCAGTTCAGAATTTATTTCACGAATTTCATATTTGAATAAAAAACAAAAATATAAATTCAGTTTTAGCTAGTAAGGAAATACACACTGCCCTCCTTGCCTCACTCCCATCTCCAAAAACAAACCTAAAAAGACACACAAAAAAATTATTTTCACAGAATACCTGTAAATTAAAAAAAAGCCTCCATTTCATTGAGTTTATCAATTAAATTTAATTTAGCATTATGTTACTTAATGAACAAATCCAGTGTCCTTTTATTTCCCCCAAGTGTGAGGAAAAAAGTGTCATTCATGACAACTATTCCCGCCTTGAAGCTCTGATTCTATCTGAATTCTATTAATGACAGAATTAAGGAGTTGCTATATTCTCTATCAAGATGCTCAAGAAAAGTGCAAGACGGTGAGGGAGAGAAGCAATTGAGGAAGCAGCTGGAAGAGCCATGACTGAACAACAAAATTTCAAAAAGAGACACTTATGGCTTTCTGAAGTAGCTCTGTAGAAATAAATGTGAATATAGTTGAGACACTATGGCTTCCCAACATGTCAGAATAATGCAGGGCAGGCCCAGGTGGAGAGATGTGCCCTTTACCACCTATGTGGCCTTAGGCCAATCGCTCTACCTCTCTGGGTCTCAGTGTCTGCACCTGCAAATCTCTGCTAGATAACTACTCAGTTTCTTCTGAGTCTATAAAATTTCATTTTACTATGTGACAGAAAAGCGTTGATTGAGAAGAACAAGGAAAGGGTTCTTCTTTCCCCAGGATCAGATTTTATAAGAAGTAGCTATGCAAGTCGCTAAAGCACAATTCTTTCTTAGATTTCCTAAGCAGTTGCACTATTACTAGTTACTATAATCAGGTTAACAAAATAACAGGCAGTAAGGAAATTCCTAAACATACCTTATAAGCTTCTATCACAGTGACAAGAAGGAAATAGGACTGAATCTCTTTAAGAACCTTTCACGGAATAACCTCCATTTGACTGTGACTTGGAGCCTGGATCACCAGAATTCCTAGGTTTAATTTTTCAAGTTGATCCCTCTGGACCTTATGTCATTTTTCTCTCCCATTAGTAGATCTTAAAATACTTAATGACAGCCCAGTGTAGACAAAATGTTTCAGTATGATTTGCTTACATATCGGAAAGATCTATAAAGAAGCCTTCTTCATCTAATTTCTGATATGCTCCACAAAAATCACAATGTAAATTAAAAGAGGAAAAGGACTTGAACAGTTGATATTATGTGAAATCACATTTCATTATTTTATATACTATACACAATGGTATTTTATACACTATAAGCAATAATTAATGCTAAATCAAATTCAAGATAACTTTTTTTAAGAGGTTTGAAATTCTTCCAATTCTAATGTTTTAAAAATCTACAACATTGGTTGAAAATATTTCAATGGCAAATAGAAAATCTGTTGGGAAGGGTTTATAGTTGGTCAAAAAAAAAAGATGTTACAGTTTTATTCATGATGCCTCAACTCCAATTCCGGTTAACAAAATGCAACTCTGCATGTCAATAGTGAGAGAAACCCAGGCTATAATGAAGAGGGTTTACTGAATGGAAGCAAAGTTAGGTAGAGAAGAAAAAAATGTTAGGAATAACTTCTAGTTCAATCATCTCACTGGTCCCTAATACATGTCTCCTCACCACAGTGTCAGGCAAAAATAGAAAAGTTTATTTTATTATAGATTCTCATAAAATGATATAGGGAAAATTCAGGCAGAGGGGAATTTAATTATTGGTTTCAAAATAGCAGAGTGATATATTCCAGCCTATTCTCTGTATTAAACCACACAACGTATGAAAGACTTTTTTTTTTTTTAAAGAATCAATATCTAAACTAGAAAGTATAGATGAGGAGATTCCAATGAACCAGAAATTGAGAGGAACTTCTGAAAGATTAATGAGGGAAACAACAGCATACTGTATCTTAAGTACATAATAGATGAGAACCACACAAAGAATGGTCCATGCCAAAGCGGTGGAAACTAGAAGCAAGGAGTGCTCTGGGAAACCATTAGAAGTGGAGCTGAAGTCTGTGTGTCTCCAGCCAAAAGTAGTATTTGGGGCAGAGAGAAATAGGGTGACATCCCAGGGTGGCTGGAAAGGCCTGGAAAAAATGAAAAGCATTTGCAGCAAGTTCAGAAGATGAGCTAGTGAGGATCAATTTCTATTCTCACTGAAAATAGTACCAAGATATATAAAGAGTGTGATGTAAATATATCACTAATACATAGTTTATTTTCTTTTGAGAAAGCAAGTGAAAGAGAAATAAATATACTCTGTATTATATTACAAGCATATATACAACTGAAAAGACAGTATTATATTTTTCTATGGAAACATACATATATAAATGGATCAAAACCAAGACTGGTTAGGTTTAAAGGAAGAAAGACTAAGATTAGGAGAGTTACCAAAAAGTAACTTTAATGTTTCCATAATTATTTTAATGGGAGAATATATTATATTTGTAAAATTAAAATTTTACCTAAAATTTGATTCAAATAAAAATAAAATAGTAATTCTGGAAATGCTGGAGTAAGACATATTAGACATGCTCTCACCATTATAACTTATAAAACTAGGCAAGATAAAAAAGGTAACAAGAGACAAAAATGGACACTTTATAATGATAAATGAGAGAATTCATCAGGAAAACATAATATGTATCAATATATATGCACTCAACATATAAGTACCAAATATATAAAGCAATAACAGACCTAAAGGGAAAAACTGACAATCAATTTAGTAGGATACCTGAATATCTCATTGACAACAATGGATAATTTGTCCCAACAGAAAGTCAATACAGAATTATCAGACTTAAATAATATATTGGAAGAAATGAACTTAATATTTTTTAGAATTTCCCATCCTCAAACCACAGATAACACATTTTTCTCAAGGGCACAAGGAACATTCTCAAGGATGGATCATATTTTGGGGCATAAAACTAGTCTCAAAAAATTTAAGAAGTCTGAAATCATACCAAGTACTTTTTCCAACCAAAGGGGTATGAAACTGGAAATTAACTACAAGAAGAAAGCTAAAAACCACAGATATGTGGAGATTAAATAACATGCTATTGAACAGCTATTGGGTCAAAAAAGAAATAAAAGAAAAGATAAAAAAATACACACAATCAAAATTTTGGGGATGCAACAAAAGTGATACTAAGAGGGAAGCTTGTAGCATTACAGGGCTACCTCAAGAAACAAGAAAAATTTCAAATAATCTAACATTATACCTTAAGGAACTAGGAAAAGAAGAACAAGCAAAGCCCAAAGTCAATAAAAAGGGAATAATTAAAAATCAGATTGGAAATAAACGAAACCGAGAACAAAAAGACAACAGAAAAAATTAACAAAACAAAGAACTGGTTCTTTGAAAAGATACATAAGGCTGGCAAACATCATTCAATACAATTCAACATATTAACAGAATATGGAAGAAAAACATGAAGAACATTTCAATACATGTGGAAAAATCATTTGATAAAATTCTACACCATTCATAATAAAAACTCTCAGAAGACTAAGAATAGAAAGGAACTTCTCAACCTCATAAAAGGCATCTATGGAAACCTACAGTTAAACACATAATGGTGAAAGAAAATTCCTTTACTCTAAGGTTAGATCCGATGTCTTCATTCACCATTTCTCTTCCATATTGTTTTGACGGTCCAAGTCAGAAAAATATGGTAAGACAAAGAAATAATATCTAGATTAAAAAAAAAAAACAAAGTAATAATGAGATACAGCTTCACATCTGCTAGGGTGGCTTCAAGAAAAAATAAAAAATGATGGAAATAGAAAATAAGTGCTGGTGAGGATTTGGAGAAATTAGAACACTTGTACATTCATGGTGGGAATGTAAAACAATGCGTTCACTGTGGAAAACAGTTTTCTCATTGCTCAGTAAGTTAAACATAGAATTACCAACTGGCTATACAGTTCTACTCATGGGTGTATACCCAAAATAATTGAAAACAGATGTCCAAAGAAAAATTTGTGCACAAATATTCACAGCAGCACTACTGACAACAGTGAAAGGGTTAAAATGACCAAAGTGTCCATAAACTGGCAAATGTATAAACAAAATGTGATATATCCATATGATGAAATATTGTTCATCCATAAAAAGGAATGAATTACTGATACATGCTATGACATGGATAAACTTTAAAAACATTATGCTAGGTGAAAAAGCCAGACACAAAAGGTTCCATATTGTATGATTCCATTTGTATGAAATATCCAGTCAGCAAATCCAGACAGAAAACTTGGTGGTTGCCAGAGGTTTGGGGGAAGGGGAAATGCAGAGCAACTGTGTAATGAGTACGGGCTTTCCTCTTGGGGGAAAGGAAATGTTCTGGGACTAGACAGTGAGGATGGTTCCACAACAGTGTAAATGTACTGAATATCACTAGTGGTAAATTTTATGTTACATGCAGTTATGTACAGTTTAAAAAAAAATAACTATTTTATTCATAGAAAATATAATATAAAAATACTGTGGAATTCCCCCAAAGAACTGTTAAATAAAAAAATTAGCATAATTTCAGTATACAATGCCTTTTTACAATTTCTTGTGTACTGTACCTCTGTATAATAGAAAAGTGAAAAAATTTACAATAGCATTAAAAAACATGAACTATTTAGTCTGATGTTGACACTATATACATGCACATATATACACATAGCATATACATATATATGACCTGTCCACTGAAAACGAAAAAATACTATGTATAGAAATGAAAGAACAGCTTAATTAAACCAAGAAACATACAATATTCATAGGTTGGAAGGTCTGATGTTCTTACAATGTTAATTCTTCCCATATTAACCCACAGATTTGATACACTCCCACTCAAAAATCCCAGCAAGCTTATATAGATTTCAAATTTTATGAAAAAATGCAAAATGACCTAAAACACCCTGAAAAGTT